CCTCTCCGCCCGTCGGCCGACCCGCGTCTCCCCAGCAAGCCCCCTTGCTGTTTCGGAGCAGCTTGAGCTCTTTTTGTAAAATAATCTAAACTGTTATTTCCACACTGTCTTTAATAAATCAGAGATTCAGAACCCTTAAACGTTGGATGTTTTTAAATGTTGGTAATGCATGTAATTTGCTTCGTGAAGAAGGCTTCGCGGAGCAGAGCCCCCTTCACCGAGCGCCTGGCGGGATGGCGTTTTACCTTTAGCTCGGCGCTGCCTTGCTTAATTACATATGTTCTGCCACGCAGTGCGATTCGGCCCTGGGTAGAGTGATCTGTTGGCCTCGTGCCATTTCCCTCGCGCTCCTGCTGGGTCAGCAGGGCCCTTGAGCCAATCGTGCGGCCTTAGAGGGTGGGCACCGCCTGCGGGCGCCCCGTGGCCGAGCGTCTCCGGGCGGTGCCAGCGCAGCAGACCTCGTGCCCACGGAGCCACGTGACAGGCCCGGCTGTGCTTATCCATCAAATGCTCAATCAGCAAAGCCCTTGGGATGGTGAATAATGGAATGGCCAGAGACTAACTGACGAGGTATTGGCTTTTTAGTCTGATTTTGTGCTTTTTAAAGTCATAGCCACTTGGTTGTAGACAGAGCATACATTTAAAATGTTTAACTGAAAGAGAATATAGTATCGTAAAAGGTGACTGATTAAAGCAGTGTTGGGGACCCGTTTTTGAGGTAGGGTAGCAGAGCTTTTTCTGTAGTTCCATCCAGAGGTCCTTGTGTCGTGAAACCAAATGTGTCTCCTGCCTCCCCTACGGACTGCTTATCCAGCTCCCCCTCACAGTTTGTCTGATGATGGTCGTGGCCACTTCTTCCCAAGGGACCCAGGTGTACTATCTTAGCATTTCTGTTGGTTTTCTGAAGCCAAATTTTCTTCTCTTTGTAAGTATCCCTTCTGTTTATCTTTTCTTTCTACTGCTACTGCCCCTCTGTCCATCTGGGGTGGGGGTGCGTGCTGCAGCCTCCGGTCTTTGCCCTAAATTCTCTGCTTCTGGAGCAGTGACTTTCAAAGCTTTTAGCTGCAACCCAGGTATGAAACACATTTGTACTACTGTCCAGACACAGCTCAATACAGTATGTATAACAGGAAAGTTTTATAAAACATTGCTTGTTGTTTATACACATAGTGCCTTAGTTTGTTTGTTTGTTTTTAAGAGGTGACGATTATGGTCTGAACTGATTTTGTAACAAATGCCTCGCCACCTTTAGTTTGAGCAAACTGCTTCATACCACACAAGACTTTAAAAGCTCTTGCTCTTTTTATCATGCCATGCTCGGGACCCTCAGCGTTTCCCTTGCTCACAGCAGCCCTTCTGTCTCTTCGTAAGGAAGCGCGCAGCTTCCAAGGCCTGCAGATCACCAGGAGGGGCCTGCTGGCTGTCCAGGCGCTCTCAGGAGAGCGGCGGTGAGACTGACGTTTGCTGAGACTTCTGACAAGTGGATGGGCAAGTGGTGGGAGCAGTCACTGGTTGAGTCCCACCTGTACGAATTTACAGCTGGATTAGCAGCTTCTCTTTTGTTCTGGGGACAGCCCAGGCCCCGTCGCAAGGACCAGGGCCAGACCGCTGAATTTACCTTGCCTTTCAGGCCCTGCATTGTTTTGTCTTAGGTGTTGAACTTGGTGTTCCCTAAAAGTGTTTGCTTCGCACTTCTCTCTTCACTGAGAAGGATTCTGGGTCAGATGAGACTAGATCTCTACGCTTGGTGGGAAGAGACTGCACATCGGCCTGAGAGCCTGGAGAACTCCACAGTAAAGATATGCCGTTAACTTCGTTCAACTAGTTTTCCCCCAAATTCTTTGACCCTGAGTCTCTATTCTCTGCCCCTTTCGCCCATTTTACTTTTTACCGTTTTCCCCCAAACACTGGGATTCTCTTACTCTGAGTGTCAGGCTGTTGGCTTTGCTATTACTCCGATGCACATGTAGAATCCCGAATTTCAGTCTGCTCAGGCAGTTTCCCTTTTCTGAAATGCTCTGTCAGTTTTCCTATGAATCCTGCCTGGCCCTGTTCCATGAAAAAGATCCCCTTTTCCACGAAGCCTTCCATCCTGGCTCCAGCTCACAAATGAGTGTGCCCTTTCTCCAAACCTGGATGAAGCGTCTCCTGCTCACCTGCCTTTGGCAGTCACTCACGTAGCATTTCGTGTGTGCGCATCCTACTCCCCTACTGCATTCTGTCAAGAGCAGGGACCGCATCTCTGTGTCCTCTGGTGCTTGAGCATTGGGCCACTTTGATAGAGAAGACTCCTTCAGAATAATTTTCACTATAATTTTAGAACAGAGTCACTCAGTGTTTAGTGTACTAGACATGTGCCTTTTATTCATTTAGTAAGCATTTAACAACTTACACAAGGGATATGTTCACTGTAGAAAAGTTTAGATAACAGCTTGCAAAAAATTGAATTGCACCATCACACAGCTCTACAGCAGATACCGTTTTGGTGTGTATCAAGCCCTCAGAATTTTCTGTGCATACTGCTCTGTGAGTAGAAATCTGTTAACCACATCATATGAAAATACCTAGGTGAAGACTAGAAGATTTGGAGATGGTGTGATGTGTGGTACAGGCCCTGTAGCTTCGTGATATTTACTTGGGGAGGGCATCCTAGATGTACTCTGAGGTAACGGGTGGCTGGTCACCCCCCTAGAGCATCTGAAACCTGGATTCAAAAGATCCTAGGGTGGCCAAGAGGAGGCTGGCTCAGAGGAGTTCAATGGCATGGACTACAAATTTGCACCCCAGTGTCGCGACGTGGGCAGGTCCTCCAGACGGCTGGCGACAGTTTGTAAGTGAGCTGAGCTGCTTCTCACTTGGGCTGGGCTTTCACTCTCTTCAGCTGTTGCGCAGAGGGAGGCAGCAGGTGTCCCCTTCCCTGTGGCTTAGATGCTCAAGAGCAGCTACTTAGTAGTAGGTACAATTTTATAAAAAGGGTCATGTCTAAGAATCCTGCTTTATGTACTTGCAATGCGTTAGGAAAATTCTCCTGTACTTTATTTTTTGCCTCATTTTTAAGAGCCACCTGGTATTTGACTTTTGAACAACTGTTTAGTACCCGCTGAATGCTTGGCGCCATGCGTAGGTGCTGGGGCTCCCGGGCTCAGTAGGGTAAGGTCCCTCCTCACCGGGTTTCCAGTCTGGGGCAGGGACTGACACGCATAGTGACAGGTTGACAAACGCTGTGATACCGGAGTGCGACTAGCTTTGGTCTCCAAGCACTTGGCTTCCCCGTGGTCCTCGCTTCCACCACTCTGTCAGTGAAGAGGGCGATCTCCCTTAAGTCTAAGCTCACGTAACTGGTTAACGCAGGTGCCGTGACAACGTGTGCGCCAAGGAAAGCAGCGTCTGAGAACCCTCTGGGAGTACTTTAAAGAGGAACGAGCAGCCAGACCCTGTCGTGCGCTCTCTTGCCTGCGTGCTCTGTTAGTCTTCTGGGACTGCATGTAGTTTATCAGGTCAGGCAGCATGGTGAGCCTCTGAACCTGGCTTTATTGCTTAATTCATTGCGTCACTGGCCAAATTATTTCTGAGCCTCAGTTTCCGCATTTGGAAAATGAAGATACTACCTGAATCACGGAGTCATAAATGAGAGCATGGGATGTTTGTTAGGGCATGCCGACACAGTTAGTGGACAGCAAATCCCCGCTCTCTCTGGATAAAAGACAACCCATTACCCTCAGCTGACAGGTTCTCAGACACCTGTAGGATAAACTTCCCAGTACATCTTTAAAATGTGAACTGTCAAACATTCAGAAAAACAAAGAATCACACCCATAAACCCACCATCCAGATTTTAAAATGTTAACATTTTGCCTTATTCATCTTTGTTTTAAAATAAAACCACATACTCAAAGCTTCATTCGTACCCCCTCCCTCACCCATTCCC